TGTTGTGTTGTGTTGTGTTGTGTTGTGTTGTGTTGTGTTGTGTTGTGCTGTGCTGTGCTGTGTTGTGTTGTGTTGTGTTGTGTTGTGCTGTGTTGTGTTGTGTTGTGTTTTTTGTGTTATGTTATGTTTTTCAACGCATATCACCTCAATTCATTTTAGTTCAGCCTACCTCAACTCCCCTTAATTTTAGTGGTTGAATTTCAACCGCTGGGCGAACACTGTTTGTTATGCAACCCCACTACAAAAACAGGAAAATAATGAAATTTTACTTGTAAATATTTCATGAATTGAAGAAACTGTGAAATTATATCACAGTTACACAGCTCGGGTATGTAAGAATAAATTTCAATTCATCAGTCAAGAAATTTCAAACAACGAATAAATTTTTATTTATCATTCAAGTAGTTTCGAATGAAGAATGAATTTTTATTCATCATCAAGAAATTTTAAATAACGAATACATTTTTGTTCACCTTTTAAATATTTGCGAATAAGGATACATTTTTATTATTCATTCAAGTAATTTCAATAACAAATAAATTTATGTATATTCATCATCCAAGTAATTTCAAATGATTGATCTTACCCTATCTCTCTCTGTTAGGGTGGCTAAACTGGAGAGTCCTGAGTGAAGATTCGCTCTCGGGCCACAGATACATCGAGTTTCAACTTGGCGAGTAGACTATTCGCTCTGCGCCAATGCGAAACTTAAAAAAAAACGGACTGGTCGTGTTTTAGGAAGGAGCTGGGAAACCAGCAAAAGGTGGGGTCTGTCACCAAATGGAATCCTCTGGATTTATACCTCTATGATCAGACCCATGATCAGGTATGCGTCAGGGAGCATACGCTCAATCAATAGCGTGGGAAGTCTGCTAGACACAGGACAGTACGCCACCATTACCTTTGTTGAAGAGGTCCTATAATTTTGAGTTTCCTGAGACTGAATGTTGGTTGATACCAGCACTGAGCCCGGACTCACACATTGTCGAATCTTCACTGATGGCTCCAAAGCTAATTTTGGGTCAGGCTCTGGAGTCTTCATCGAAGTTAATGGAGATAAGCTTCACTTTTCTCGTGGGGAGTATGCTTCGGTCTTCCAGGCTGAGGTATTTGTAATCCTCAAGGCCATGGACTACGTGGTGGAAAATAGGTGGAGGGGAAGGAATTTGCGTGTCTGCAGTGACAGCCAAGCTGCACTTAAGACATTGGCCAGCCCTCTAACTACTTCCAAACTAGTTCGGCAGTGCAAGTCTCCACTAAATTATGTTGGAAAACATATCCTGGGTGCCAGGCCACTCGGGAGTACCTGGGCTGCAGGTGGGCGAACTCATGTTGACTTCAATCTCAGAAGGTCTATCTAGTTTTTTGCCCTCACTGAGCAGACGGGACTGTATACAACTTGTTGGATTGCTGACTGGTCACTTCATGTAGCACAAACACGTGACTGTGATAGGCGTACATGACAACTTCATTTGCCCATCCTGCCTTGAAGAGGATGAGTCGGTGGAACACTTTTTGCGCTTCTGCCACGCGAGACGAACGCCTGACCTCTTTGATACCCAACAATCTGCAGATTAAAAGGGACATGAAAACAGTAAAATGGATGGCATCTAGTCTGAGTGTTGTCTATTTTGTTTCTGATTCCGACAAAAAAAAACATATTTGCCAATTTTTATAGAAATTTTTTAAGTAAGCGATGATCCAAGTTCAAAAAATTAATTTCCAATTTTTGTTCTGCGTGACATTTTGATTTGACGTTTCGCACAATGAAATTATTGAGATATAGTAATTAAACAATAGCGGGTATAGACAGCACCCTGTAGTACCCCGTGTTTATTTTTTCTGGTTTTGCTTTTTTGACGTAGAATACGTCTTACCTTAAGGTATGGGGGCTATGTTCAAATGTTGTAGTTGTAATTTTTAGAGCTTCAC